TACCTGCCACACATTAACACACACACACACTGCCTACCTGCCACACATTAACACACACACACACTGCCTACCTGCCACACATTAACACACACACTGCCTACCTGCCACACATTAACACACACACACACTGCCTACACATTAACACACACACACACTGCCTACCTGCCACACATTAACACACACACACACATTAACACACACACACACACACACTGCCTACCTGCCACACATTAACACACACACACACTGCCTACCTGCCACACACTGCCTACCTGCCACACATTAACACACACACACTGCCTACCTGCCACACATTAACACACACCACTGCCTACCTGCCACACATTAATACACACACTGCCTACCTGCCACACATTAACACACACCGCTGCCTACCTGCCACACATTAACACACACACACTGCCTACCTGCCACACATTAACACACACCACTGCCTACCTGCCACACATTAATACACACACTGCCTACCTGCCACACATTAACACACCGCTGCCTACCTGCCACACATTAACACACACACACACTGCCTACCTGCCACACATTAACACACACACACACTGCCTACCTGCCACACACCTGTTTGGGGCCTCGTAGCCTGGTGGATAGCGCGCAGGATTCGTAATTCTGTGGCGCGGGTTCGATTCCCGCACGAGGCAGAAACAAATGGGCAAAGTTTCTTTCACCCTAAGTGCCCCTGTTACCTAGCAGTAAATAGGTACCTGGGAGTTAGTCAGCTGTCACGGGCTGCTTCCTGGGGTGTGTGTGTGTGTGTGTGTGTGGTGTGGGAGAAAGAAAAAAAAAAAAAAAAAAAAAAAAAAAAAAAAAAAAAAAAAAAAAGTAGTTAGTAAACAGTTGATTGACAGTTGAGAGGCGGGCCCAAAGAGCAAAGCTCAACCCCCACAAAACACAACTAGTAAACACACATTAACACACACCTCTGCCTACCTGCCACACATTAACACACACCTGCTGACTACGTGCCATACTGCCAAGTACGTATAATATCCAAGAGCAACAATAATTCAACATTTAAATAATATTACTCTTTGATATAGTGCTTAACACTTTCGCGCTCTCGGCACTCAAAAAAAACAATACCCCAGATGCTTTCGGCACTTCGCGCGCCTACGCGGTAAGACCGAAAAAGTGTACACTCTTTTGACTGTCCTGACAATAATTGAAGGCGCACGTATTTAAATTTGGTATCACTGTGTTTGCAATGAAATTGTCTATAAAAGCATACCTATTAAATGCCGCCCAAGCATAAGGAGTATCAACACCAAATAAAAAACTATGCAGATCACTCGCTGAGAGCGCCAAACAGCAACAAAATGTTTCCACTCTCTTAATGGTTGCGAAGCCTACAGTTGTCCTACATCGCTAATTTTGGTATCATTGGAATCGCAATAAAAGTCTCTACACGGACATATGCATATGAATGTTTAATATAGGTAATTGCCCACCTGCAAGAGTGTGTGAAGTGGAGAGTAGTTAGCCGCGAGCGCACTGGCGAAAACACAGGGGGGAAATCATGCTTGGAAAGTTTATACGTTTCCTGACCCTACTTTTCTATGTACGTATTTCTTTTTTATACCAATGTGTTCGCAATAAATTTTTCTATAAGATGAACTGTATAACATTTGTACAAAGCATGTGTAAGAGAAGCGCCAAATATAGAACCACGTCGCTCAGTATGCGTTCGCGGCAGAAACGAACGCATTGTTTTCGTTCGTTTGATGTTTGTCATGTTTATACTTGTTGAAACATTTTATAATTTGTATGACAGTGATCGCAGTAAAATTCCCTACACAGACATATACATAACACATACAAATATTTCCCACGTGTTGGATATATCAACGGCTAAAGGGAACCCACTGCCACACGCCAACCACACCCCCAAACATACTTTGTGTATTTTTTTTTTTACTCATAGAAGTTTATGTAATATAATATTCATTCTGGTACCAAAAAATTCGCAAATAAATTCTCTACAAAACAAAAGTATCCCCATCCATTTCGGTTAAAAAATGGAATTTATAGAAATATTTTTTCGATGGACGAGAAAAGTAGGCTGTTATGCGGAATCGTAAGAAAAAACGGCGACGAGTTATCTCTAATCTAAAGCGCGAAAGTGTTAATGAGTAACCTCCATGCATGAACTCTCACTGGCCCCCCAACCATTCATCTGCCAACCTGTAACATATGGACACCCCTCCCCCACACCTGTACCCCACATGCCCCTGACCATCTACCATACACACACCGCCTTGCCCACTTATCACAGAGTTAGGCACCTGCTTGGCGCGTAAGTAGCCTACCCTACTTTTCAACCATCCTATGTTGCCTCACCAGCTATACATATTTTTAGAATTTCTTTTTCTATCACACTTGCTTTTTTTTTATGTCCCATCCACTGGCTCTAGAATATGATTAATGATTTTTGCCTCCAAGTTATGTCCTGAACAACCTGCATAGTTTGTACAGCCTCTAACACAACTGCTCTGATTGCTCTCCCAACCTGTTTCCAACCACTGCTTCAAGGGTTGCCTGTCCAATTTCTTCAACTATCTTGTTATCTCTTCTATTTTTCCTATATTACATATCTGTCTAATTACTTCTCCGTATTCCTTTTTATTAATTTTCCATTTGTCCTCTCTCAGCTTCTCCATTACATTCACTATTACATCACTCCTCGGAACAGGTAATTCTTCAAGCAGTTTACCTTTATATTTTTCCTCTCTATTACTAATACTTGCAATCCTTCCCCTTTAGTGCTACTACCTACCTCTAATTACTTTTAATCTTTTCCTAACATCTTTCCAAAAACTTCTGTTTAGTTTTGCTTTCCTTTAATATATGTTTGCTCCTTTACTGGAACTACAGTATCTGTTTCCATTGTTTACCTATTATAAATTCCTCATTCAGTCACAAATTCCTTCAATTTATTGTTTGTGTACTCCCATGCTGACCTGATAATCCATGTTTTCTGACATTTTCTAACCACTGTGTCCCTTTTACCTCCCCCTTTCAGCTCATGGATGTGGTGTCATTTCTCTCAACCCTTTCCTATGATTATAATTAGATATTGACCCTCCCAGTCAGTACCTTAATTCTTTGCACCAGACATTAACTAGAACACCTACTGTGCACTGACCACCTTACCTCGTATGACAAATCGGCAAGATGCTCCCACTGCCACTGTAGTTAATTCTGTTCTCCAGTGCTTCTGCTACTCTCTGCTCCTGTGGTTCATGAGTAGCTTCTGGTGGCACTGGTGCCAGTTCTAGCTTACCAGCAATGTACCATCACTAAAAGCAGTGTACATTTTGCACATTAATGCACATTACAAAAATGCACATTACTGTGCATTTTTCATGTTCTCTTTGCATTGCTGTTCATTTTTTTTTCTTTTTTACTACTTACATTATTTTGTATTATGTTCACTGATACAGCTTCTGTATGTTGGGGCAAGCAACAAATTATAGTGTTGACGATTCAGAGAGGGAATAGCAGAATTTTCCTCTAGCTCTTTCAAAACTTCACACACACACAGCAACCTGCAGCAACAGTTTGAATATCACTTTGAAGTTCACTGGCAGAGCAGCCTCACAACACGTAGATGGCCAGCCAACATGCTTGTCTGCACTTTCACGTAACACTTTTCACTTGTTGCAGTTTTGTTTTTCTCTGTTCTGATTTATTATCACTTTCACCTTGAGCACAGCATTCAAGATCTAAAGTTTAGTATTCATAATATCAGTTATTCAGTTTCCTTTATACTGTGTACTTAATCACCTCAACTTGTGTGAAAATTCATCAACTGTACCTTTGATTGTACCTGGAGGGAGTTCTAACAGTTGTTCTATTCCCCAAGTCCAGCCTGGGGCCAGGCTCAACTTGGGGGGAATTGGTCTAACAGGGTGTTGCTTGCTGTAGCCTGCAGGCCCACATATCCACTACAACCCGGTTGGCCCAGCATTTCTTGCAGGAAACATTTCCTCAACAGATTGTAGCAAAAAAATAACACAAGGGCAAATACCATAAAGAATTTTTTGCAATGAACATGGAGGATGCTTTATATTTTGTGAAGAAATCAACAAATCTAAGGGTAGTCAATTCTTTAATATCATCACCACCAAAACAAAAATTGCATACTGTAACCCTTCAGTGTAGCCCACCAGGAATGTTTGCCCCAAAACAAAACCGGCCAAAAAATGTTAAGTGGTCACCCCAAGCAAGAAATGGCTTGTTGGAGACTAGTCAATTTATTATTCAGTGACAGACATTAATAAAACACAGCTACTGTACTGCACAAGATTTGGCAAAAATCATACTCAGGGCTGTATTAAAACACTTCTTTGCAATATTTCTGCATTACTAGTATAACTTTCTTCTCTGCTTCGTGAGCTGGAAGCAATTGATAGTTGATTGCATATATTATTTTAGCCAAGACAACCTGATTAAGCTAATGAAACTTATCATTTCAATGCTCTGGACTATTTAAATACAGTATTGCAACCAATTCTACAGATTAAAATATATCCCAAAAATATTGAATAGTGACTGTCCGTCAATTAACACTTTACGAGTAGCATTAGTTGTGAACAGTGATCAGTGGTGGGCATTTCCAAATGACATCTAGTGGTTATCTTGAGGTTATCTTGAGATGATTTCGGGGCTTTAGTGTCCCCGCGGCCCGGTCCTCGACCAGGCCTCCACCCCCAGGAAGCAGCCCGTGACAGCTGACTAACACCCAGGTACTTATTTTACTGCTAGGTAACAGAGGCATAGGGTGAAAGAAACTCTGCCCAGTGTTTCTCGCCGGCGCCTGGGATCGAACCCAGGACCACAGGATCACAAGTCCAGCGTGCTGTCCGCTCGGCCGACCGGCTCCCCCGGTGTAATATATAGTGTAATCCCTCTACACATTAACTTCAATTGTACATAACTATATACAAAACAAAACCTCATCTTACCTTTGTGGTAGCGTGGAGATTGTGACCTGGAGTCTGGCGATGAGGATCGCAGAGAATTTGTTGAGGGTGAATCCCTACTCTTCTCATGGTTACTGTACCGGTACTTACTGCTGTATTTAGAATTCTGAAAAATTAAATTACAGTGTGAAAATTTCTAGACAAGTATAAAACAAAAATAACACTTCTTTTATTAACATTATTTTTCCTAAGTTATTTATGCCAATGTTTTGATATTCCTATAAATGAAAAAGATCAACAGCTGATATTTGTAGTAATACTAATACAAAATTTAAATGTTTTGCCACCAGAAATATATCTATATACAGTAGATGTCCCACATCCATACAGCTGTTGTCTTATATTGATACACAGCAGTTGTCCTACATCCATACACAGTTGTCCTATAGCCATAACACAGCAGTTGTCCTACAGCCATACACAGCAATTGTCCTACAGCCATACACAGCAATTGTCCTACAGCCATACACAGCAATTGTCCTACAGCCATACACAGCAATTGTCCTACATAACACACCACATGTTGGCAACACACCACACAACCTTGAAGGCAACACACCACACAACCTTGCCGGCAGCACACCACACAACCTTGCCGGCAGCACACCACACAACCTTGCCGGCAGCACACACCACACAACCTTGCCAGCAACACACACCACACAACCTTGCCGGCAACACACCACACAACCTTGCCGGCAACACACACCACACACAACCTTGTCGGCAGCACACCACACAACCTTGCCAACAACACACACCACACACAACCTTGCCGGCAACACACCACACACAACCTTGCCGGCAACACACACCACACACAACCTTGTCGGCAGCACACCACACAACCTTGCCAACAACACAACACACACACACAACCTTGTCGGCAGCACACCACACAACCTTGCCGGCAACACACCACACACAACCTTGCCGGCAACACACCACACACAACCTTGCCGGCAACACACACCACACACAACCTTGCCGGCAGCACACCACACAACCTTGCCGACAACACACACCACACACAACCTTGCCGGCAACGCACACCACACACAACCTTGCCGGCAGCACACCACACACAACCTTGCCGGCAACACACACCACACACAACCTTGCCAACAACGCACACCACACAACCTTGCCGGCAACACACACCACACACAACCTTGCCGGCAACACACACCACACACAACCTTGCCGGCAACACACACCACACACAACCTTGCCGGCAACACACAACACACAACCTTGCCGGCAACACACCACACACAACCTAGCCGGCAACACACCACACACAACCTTGCCGGCAACACACCACACACAACCTTGCCGGCAACACACCACACACAACCTTGCCAACAACACACCACACACAACCTTGCCGGCAACACACCACACACAACCTTGCCGGCAACACACCACACACAACCTTGCCGGCAACACACCACACACAACCTTGCCGGCAACACACCACACACAACCTTGCCAGCAACACACCACACACAACCTTGCCGGCAACACACACCACACACAACCTTGCCGGCAACACACCACACACAACCTTGCCGGCAACACACCACACACAACCATGCCGGCAACACACCACACACAACCTTGCCGGCAACACACCACACACAACCTTGCCGGCAACACACCACACACAACCTTGCCGGCAACACACCACACACAACCTTGCCGGCAACACACCACACACAACCTTGCCGGCAACACACCACACACAACCTTGCCGGCAACACACCACACACAACCTTGCCGGCAACACACCACACACAACCTTGCCGGCAACACACCACACACAACCTTGCCGGCAACACACCACACACAACCTTGCCGGCAACACACCACACACAACCTTGCCGGCAACACACCACACACAACCTTGCCGGCAACACACCACACACAACCTTGCCGGCAACACACCACACACAACCTTGCCGGCAACACACACACACAACCTTGCCGGCAACACACACCACACACAACCTTGCCGGCAAAACACCACACACAACCTTGCCGGCAACACACCACACACAACCTTGCCGGCAACACACCACACACAACCTTGCCGGCAACACACCACACACAACCTTGCCGGCAACACACCACACACAACCTTGCCGGCAACACACACCACACACAACCTTGCCGGCAACACACCACACACAACCTTGCCGGCAACACACCACACACAACCTTGCCGGCAACACACACCACACACAACCTTGCCGGCAACACACACCACACACAACCTTGCCGGCAACACACCACACACAACCTTGCCGGCAACACACACCACACACAACCTTGCCGGCAACACACCACACACAACCTTGCCGGCAACACACCACACACAACCTTGCCGGCAACACACCACACACAACCTTGCCGGCAACACACCACACACAACCTTGCCGGCAACACACCACACACAACCTTGCCGGCAACACACCACACACAACCTTGCCGGCAACACACCACACACAACCCTGCCGGCAACACACCACACACAACCTTGCCGGCAACACACACCACACACAACCTTGCCGGCAACACACACCACACACAACCTTGCCGGCAACACACACCACACACAACCTTGCCGGCAACACACCACACACAACCTTGCCGGCAACACACCACACACAACCTTGCCGGCAACACACACCACACACAACCTTGCCGGCAACACACCACAAAAACTACATTCCAATGTATCTAAAATGCTCACAATAACTATAAAAACTACGTATAGTGCAAGCCACTGAAGCTCAAGACTGGCATACACACAACAAAACATTTAACTCTTTGATCAAGACGAGGGGAAAAATGATCTATTACATTCATACAATTATATACACCAAACTCAATATTGTATTCCAAAATATGACTCACAATTTTATAAACAATAAACAGCTTTTCAAAATTTGACATGTTTAGCTTTAAAATATGTAGTCAGAAACCATATTCAAGTTTAAGGCAATTAATTTATTAAATTAATACTGTATGACTCAAGCCTTACTTTGTTGCAATACAGACAACTGAAGGTTGTCTAATTAAACCACTAAATTGCCTTCTTAAGTGATCATAAATCACTGAAGGACACTTGCAAATGTCTTGTCTTGTAAGTAACACTTACACAAATATACTAACTTTAAAGTACTAGTCCTCTCATGACCACCATAACAAAAGGTTTATGAACAACTATTACATAAAAAAAAATGTAAACACCATCCTCCCCCAGCCTGTGGCATAAACACTTCACTGGACAAACAAACAAACAATGCTCTCAGTTGTTCTTGCTCGGAAATGAAAATAAACAAAATATATATAAATACAAAAAATAAGATAAAGAGACGAGCAGGAGAGAGAAAAAAAAGGGCAGTGAGCCGTGGTGAATGTGCAGCCTTGTGTGTGTGCGCGTGTGTAATGTAGGCTAAACGTGTCAGGAGGAGCCCTGGAGGCGTGGAGGAGGCCTAGGCTGGGGGAGGCCGTCTTCCTGACGGGGGTGGGAGGATAAAACACGAGCATGGCCGCGTCGGCCAGGAGCCAGCAGCAGCAGCGGCGGCTGCCTACCTGGCCGCCTCTCTCCACTCACCACCACCTCTCACCTCGTAGCTGTGGGCCTGGTGCTTCTCGATGAACCTGCAAAGATACGGCAGGCATTACTTTATCGTCTTCGCCCCTCGTGCCGCTCACTTTCAGATTTCCAAACAAAAGGAGTGGCTGCATTCATGACAAACAAATGGCGGGCACCTAACCCTAGACCATCAGATATAGACGACCATATATCAACAAACTCTCACTTACCCATCGCTAATACGTGGTAGTTTCCTTGCATGCATTACCATTAATGCAATACTAGGAGGAAAACGTCTCAGGGAGGAGTAGGTTCAGGAAATCCAGCAGAAAACCAGCCAGCAAATCGGTTCCTTCAAAATTCTAACATTACGACGCCATATTACATACGGGGATCGCTCTTGGTAACTGACTGTCGGAGGAGGAACAACTGTGGAGCAACTCTCCCCGCTCCAACTATCGATCACTCTCGGTTTACACTCCCTTTCGCTTTTCATCTTTTCAAATCATTATTATGTTGAACTGAAATTATTTTTGCTTATATAAAATACCAAAATTTTATACAGTAATGGAATAAGTTGTTGATTATTAAATGTATCCGTAACTAATGCTGTATGTTATAAACGGAAAAGTTTGTGACGTTCTTAAAGAAAAGAGCATCGCTAAAGACGTCAACAGTATCTCTATTGTTTGTCCTTAGGAGGACTAGTTGCCAAATGGTAGTTTTTATAGTATTGAGGTCTGTTTATTATATAAATACACCAGCTGCTTATTGTTGTTCTCGTTGTCATGCCAGGAACACAGCTGGATTTTGGCAAATGTCAGAAACTGCTACAGATTTGTGTATGTTACTAACTTGAGCTTCTGTGTCATGTTATCTTGCACTGTCTGTGGTTATTGGCATTATTAATTTGGTCTAAGTTTATGGGAGGGTATGTCTTCAAATTATTATTTAGTGAAAATATTATTGATATTCTCTTCAGTAATTTTGTGCTTAATTTTGACACATTACACTTGATACTTTCCTTGTTCAATTGTAAAAGAGTTTTTAAGTTATGTTTTGACGTTAACTGCGTTGTATTAGCCGCATATAATCGTGGGACACAGTTTGAACGTTGGGTTATGATATAGTAGTAGTGGTAGTAATACCCTTAAACCCTTCCTGTATTCTAAGTTGGTTCCAGTAAAATTAATAAAAATAATATACTTAGAAATAAAACAGAATTAAGGAACTGAATGCTAAACTCTAGTAACCTACTGGTCTAGTATCAAATCAAGGAATATATAGTATATCATGTTGTCGACATGAAAACATAATTGGATTTGCTATCTGTAAGAAAATGTATTGGAAGTGCATTGTAAGATATCAAATCAGAGGTTTCAACAAAAACCATATGGGTAGAAATGAATGAGAAAATCCAAAAATTGCAAATTTTTCTTTTTCATTTAAAATACAGTAATACAATATGTATTGTCAGTCATAAGTCCCTTTCTGTTTTGGATATATAAGAGGATTTATAACACTGCTGACTGGGTGTACATGAATCACTATGAATTCTCTATTTATATTCCATAAAATGTGCACAGAATGTGCTGAAAATAATATTAGATTATAGATAGGTATTTGAATTATATTTATGTAGTACACATTATGTTCCACAATACATCATGTTTACTTATATTTAGGTTTATATTTACTAATCACACATCTCCAAGCTCATGGAGAGAATCATAAGGGAGGGAATCATTCACTATCTTTCAGTGAACAATCTTGTACAATCGACACAACATGGGTTTGTTAAAAAATAGCTCCTGCCTTACAAACCTGCTCACATTTTTGGAAACAGTAACCAGCTACTCAGAGTAGCAGTAACCAGCTACTCCGGTGGATGTAGTACTGTATACATTTTGTTTTGCTTTTTGGTACCTTATCAAAAAGCCTTTGATAAGTTACCACATGAAAGACTGGTATAGGAAATTACAGGCCTATACAATGAAAGGTAAAATACTAGAATGGATAAATAAATGGTTGAAAGAAAGAATACAAAGGGTCATGCTAAATGGGAATGAATCTGGAGAAATGTGTTAAGTGGGGTACCACTAAGGTTCATTTCGGAGCCAACTCTTTTTATCATATACATCCTGAAGTGTGCGGCCCCAGCATAGAGCCTGTACCTTGTCAAGCACAGGACTAAGCTGGAAAAAGTTCAGAGGTATACCACTAAGCTAGTCCCAGAACTAAGAGGTATGAGTTACAAGGAAAGGCTGCGTAAAATGCACCTCATGTCCCTGGAAGACAGGAGAGGTCAAGGAGACATGATCACGACCTACAAAATTCTATGAGGAATCGACAGGGTAAATAAAGACATTGTTTGACACGGGGGCGGGGTATGTGAACAAGGGGACACAGGTGGGAACTGAGTACCCAAATGAGCCACAGGGATGTTAGAAAGAACTTTTTCAGTGTCAGAGTAGGTAACAGATGGAATTAATTAAGCAGTGATGTGGTGGAGGCAGACTTCATACACAGTTTCAGATTTTGATATGATGAGCCCAGTAGGCTCAGGAATCTGTACACCAGTTGATTGACAGTTGAGAGGCAGGAACAAAAAGCCAGAGCTCAACCCCTGCAAGCACAACTAGATGAGTACATCAGTGACATAGATGAGAACATTTGAATATTTCAAACCACATCATAAAATTTGCAATGACACAAAGATTTATGGTAAAGTGGTAAATGATAATGATATTGAAGCCTTACTAAAAGATCTACATAAACTCCACAAATGGTCAGAAGACTGGCGAATGCTTTTTAACATCGACAAGTGCAAGACCTTTTATGTGGGACATAGCATCCCATGCCACATCTGCCAAATTAATAACATTACTTTGCAGCAGACTGAAGAACAAAAGGACCTTGGTGTCAAAATCTGCCACTTGCTGAAAGTTGCACAACAGGTAGGAGCAGCAGTCAGAAAAGCTAACCAAACCCTTGGAATAATCAAGTGTATCATTGATTTTAAATGATTTTAAGGAAAAGAAGGTAGTGACATTCTACTCTTCACAGATGCTGTCTTGTCGAATCTGCTCTGATACTCAACATAACAGACATGAACTCTAGTCCTGGCTGTGTTGCTGTTGACTCTTCCTTTTCACAGTACAGTTCATACTTAAGGGGCCGGGAAATGAAATTTTTCACCTTGCTCAAACACTTTCAAATTTTTTGTACATAATCTACTAGGCACGTGCTCCAACTTTGTCTAAATAATCACCAACGTAACTTGAAAAACAAGAAAATGAAAAATAACTATTGAAAATTTCAGAAATTTTCAAAAGAGCATCAAAGATATTATATATCACAAATTGTTCATTTGGTGTTATGCTCTCAGAAGAGCATATGATCTTCATAGCCCTATATAGTCATAATGGCTTGGCGCATTCTCCTATTTATTTTATTATTTGTTATTATTATAGAATTCAGTATAGTTTACTGTAAAAAAAATTGTTAATATGGCATTTGAAATATGTGCCAAATTTTGACCAAAAAATTAGTAGCTCCCAACATTTAACACTTAAACTGTACAAAACATCATATGATGTATGACATTGAGCTCAATTTTTTAAATTTTCTGAAACTCTTTCAAATGTTTTGTGCATAATCTACTAGGCAAATGCTTCAACTTTGTCTAAATGAAACCAGTGTAACTTGAAAAACAAGAAAATATAAAATAATTATAAAATTGAATATTGAAAACTTCAGATTTTGAAATCGGCTGCAAAAATATAAAATACCACCAACTGTTCATTTGGGGGTTTTACGCTCTCAGAATAGTATATGATATTCATTTTCATATATTTAGAATATAGGTTTTCAGTATACTACTAGTAGTTTACTGTAAAAAAAAATTGTCAATATGGCATTTGAAATACTGTATGCACAAATTTAGACAACAAAAATTTATAACTCCAAACGTTTAGAATTTATGAAAAATCAATTCTATGGGGATTGTAGAACAGACAGCTGTGGGCACTATATGTAAAAATGGTGAGAATTGGTCAGAAACTAGATTTTTGCATACTGAAGTAAGTTGAAATTCTAGTGTATAGATATAGTTGAAGTTATCGACAATGAATAAGGCACTTCTAATTCATGAATTTACTTGTACAGTGGTACCTCGGAATGCGATTGTCCCTGTATGCGAGGTTTTCGGAAGGCGAGGTGTATTTACTCCAAAAATTTGTCTCAGAAGGCGAGGGTTACTTCGGGAGGCGAGTTTGGACGCGAGTTTGTTGATACGCGTACAGCCGACCTAGCGCGTTCGTCGCCCCTCCGCCCCTCAGTTTATTATTGTCTCGCGCTCAGTGACTACCCCCACATCAATTCTTCTCGCGGATTTTCAGTGTTTTGTTGGATTTTTGGTGATTTGTCTATACAGTTTGTTATTATATATCTCACCATGGGTCCCAAGAAAGCCAGTGGTAAGGATAAAGGCCAGAAAGCTCATGTGAGGATGACAATAGAGGAGAAACAAGAGATCATTCGGAAGCATGAGAACGGTACACGTGTTGTTGAACTTTGTAGGCAGTACAACAAAGCCACATCAACAATATGCACTATACTTAAGAAGAAAAATAAGATTATGGGTGCTAAAGTGGCAAAAGGAGTAAGAACATTAACGGCACAAAGACCACAAATACTTGAAGAAGTGGAAAAGTTGTTATTAATTTGGATACACGACAAGGAGTTGAGGGGTGATAGTGTTTCGGAGGCCATTATTTGTGAGAAAGCCAGGGTGTTGCACGAAGACCTTCTAAAGAATACCCCTGCAACGAATGATGCAGATAAGAAAGAGTTTAAGGCAAGCAGGGGCTGGTTTGAAAAATTTAGAAAGAGAAGTGGTATCCATAGTGTTACAAGGCATGGGGTTATGTGATGTGATTATGGAAGGGGACTCCCCTTCCAAACAGTAACTCCTCTCCTCCTCGCCCCTCCTCACCATCTTCCATACGCCTACAGCACTCGACAGCAAGGTAAGTAATAACTGGAACACAGTTTTGTAGGTTTATTTAGATGAATTAGGTATAAAAATTTAGTTTGATGTGGGGTTTTTGGGGTAGTCAGGAACGGATTAAATCATTTCCCTTTATTTCTTATGGGGAAATTAACTTCGGAATGCGAGTTTTCGGAAGGCGAGGCGTCTCCAGGAACGGATTAAACTCTTATTCTGAGGTATGCCTGTATGTTGTAATATACATTGTTTGACATTCATACTCAAATATGTGAAAGTTGTAGATCACTGTGTGTTGAAATGAAGTCAAGAAAAAATAACCCCCCAAAAAACAAAATATAGGGATAATTATAATAATTATAATGATTTAGGGGATATATTTAGGGTGTACTTTATATAAGTAAAATAGCCTTAATCTGGTCCCTAATCATCAAAATAACCTAAAGAAACAAGGAAAATAGAGTTTGAAATCTGTGAAAAAATCAGCCAAAAAAATATTCAAAATCCCAAGTTCTGAGAGTTAGGTAGTTAGGTAGGGGTATGCATTCTCCAGGATGTATAGGTTACAACAAATTCAAATAACCTTCTGCAGTTACCTTTGTTGTTATGTTCTTATTTTCTTATTCTTACTATTCCCTTTATTACACCTTACCTTCCCTACCTTTGCCTTAACTTTCTTCCTCTAAGATTTTCTTCTCCTCACCTCTCTTCTGCCTATTTATTGCCTTCTCCTTCAATCATCACAATCGACTTGAGAATGGTCCAGGAAGGACCGAAACGTTGTCGTCCTTTCACTTGCCAGTGTGTGGTCTGGTCAACATTTACTGTTTGTATTGAAAATATTTTACACTAACATAAGAATAAAGATTAATGTGTCAGTGTTAGATAAATTGCATTATATCATACTTACACAACTTTCTCTTTTACAGAACCATGACACCTACTCGCCCATTGCGTATATTGGAACTATACAGTGGAATAGGAGGAATGCATGTATCTGCCAAAGGTCAGTTTTGTCTTGTAATATTTTGTTCACTAAGGATTTGAGATTCAATAAAAACCATATCTGAGAATAATATACAGTACAGTATGCAGGCGATGAGTCACAATAACGTGGCTGAAGTATGTTGACCAGACCACACACTAGAAGTTGAAGGGACGACGACGTTTCGGTCCGTCCTGGACCATTCTCAAGTCGATTGTGCATGTATCTGACAATCGACTTGAGAATGGTCCAGGACGGACCGAAACGTCGTCGTCCCTTCAACTTCTAGTGTGTGGTCTGGTCAACATACAGTACAGTATTATGTTATTCTGTATTTATGTTTGCTAATAATATTACTAATGTACAGTGGTACCTCGGGTTACGAACCTTTCGGGTTACAAGCCCGATTTGTTCAGAAAATTTGAATCAAGATACGAACTTTGCATCGGGATACGAGTTTGTTGATACGTGTATGGCCGACCTAGCACGTGGTGGCATGACAATTGCGCCCAGTGACTATCCCGCCTGAATTCTTCACAAGAATTTACAGTTTTTTGTCAGATTTTTGGCCACTTTAGCATAAAAGTTGTTATTATATATCTTTCCACGGGTCCCAAGAAAGCCAGTGGTAAGGTTCATCCTCCAGGCTTGAAAGATGCATTGTTGAACAGATTTAATTTTCTCACAATAAAGTTCCTTCCTTCTAACACCACTCCTCTAATTCAGCCTATAGACCAGAAAATCATAGCGAATTTTAAGAAACTTTATGAAAGGGCACTTTTCCGGAAATGTTTTGAAGTGACTGAAGCCACAAACCTCACCCTCAAAGAGTTCTGAAAACACCATTTTAACATTTGTAGTTCTTTAAAACTCAATAACAAAGCCTGGCAAGAAGTGACTCAAAGAACCCTGATCTCTGGCTGGAGAAAATTGTGTCCTGAATATGTGTCAGAACTAGACTTTGACGGGTTTGAGTCTGTAAATGAAGTGCATATTGTTGAAGAAATTGTTACTCTGGGCCGGAAAATGGGCTTGGAATTGGATGGTGCTGATGTGGAGGAGTTGGTGGAAGAAGACCTGACCACTGAAGAACTCCAAGCCCTTGAAAAGGAGCTGCAACAAGAGGCAGTTGAGGATATTTCTTCAGAGGAGGATGAGGCAGAAGAGAATATCCCCTCCTTAACAATTAGGAAGTGGTGTCAGATGTGGGAAGAAATGCAAACTTTTATTGAAAAGACTCACCCAGAGAAAGCTGTAGTAGGTCGTTGCATTATTCTTTTCAGTGACAGTGTGATGCCTCACTACAGACAAATGTTGCGAAGAAGGGAAAAACAATTTTCAGTGGATCGTTTCATTGTGAGAAAATCAAGCAGTGAGCCACAATCAGGACCTAAGCAAAATGTGCCATAGAGTGCACTCCAGAAAAATCTTCACTGCCTGATGTTATCATGGAAGGGGACTTCCCTTCCAAACAGTAACACCTCTCCTCCTCCCCCCTCCTCACCATCTTCCATACGCCAACAGGAGTCATCAGCAAGGGTAAGTAATAACTTGAACATACTTCTGTAGTGTAGATTTGGGTGAATGAGGTATAAAATTTACTTTATTTACTTTGAAGTGAAGTTTTTGGGGAGTCAGGAACCGATTAATTCATTTCCCATTATTTCTTATGGGCAAATTTGCTTCGGTTTTTGAATTTTCGGGTTACGAACTGTCTCCAGGAATGGATTAAATTCTTAAACTGAGGTACCCCTGTACCTGTGATATTTCTAAAATATCTTATTTATTAGATTACTCAACGCAAAGCTGCTATTAGGACAATATCCAACTCTGGCCCCAGACATCACTCGGTACCCCTACTCAAATCTCTGAATATGTTAGACATTAAGTCACTGCACATTCTCTCATGTGTATTATACATATATAAAACACTAAACTGTAATGCCAATCCTGACCTCAAAAGCTTCATAGAAGGTTGTAACAGAACCCATGAGCACCACACCAGAAATAAATACAGTTTTGATATTCCTAGAGTACGACTTAATCAAACTAGAAATGCTCTACAAATCAAGGGACCCAGATTGTGGAATGACCTTCCCAACCATGTTAAAGACTGTACCTCTCTCAACCAGTTTAAGATAAAAACGAAGCTATACCTAATAAATTCCCTGTAACCTACCTTACCCCTCTAATGTCATCCAATGTCTGTTTTTTTTTAAAGAGCGCTGTTTGTCGACAGAATTGTATTTGTGCTGCTTTTTCAGCTATGTTTTCATTCCATGTTTTCATTTTACTCTTTATGCTCAATTAGTATTAAGCTTTAGTCATTTAAGTTTTTTATGCCCGAAACGCTTTGCGTAATAGTTGCTTTAGGCATTGTATGTACTAGCCCTAACTATAAATCCATCACTCTCTGTAAAATCTCTTTTATGTATGTACCTTACCTAAATAAACATTTTGATTTTGATTTTGATTTGATTTTTTGATTATATTAATTTGTTCTTGTTATAAAGTTCGTTATTATGATTTTGTAATTCCGTCCTGATACCTGTGATTAGTGTTATTTCAGATATCATGTAGGGAACCAAGTTAGTTAAAACTGAAAACCGATTTAGGTAAGTTATTTACCTCCAGCTACTTAAATTTAATCAACTTGCAGTGCTTTCACTTATGAAATTATTGGAGCAACATGAATCAATTAATGCTTTATATTTGTGTTCATTTACTGTAACTTCAGTGGCTTCATGTGAGAGGCTTTGCAAAAATGCAATTGTAATAGCAAGAAGAGTAGGATTGTACAATGAAGCAGTAGCACTCACATATGTTTTAGACTGACAGATTTTAGCATACAGTAATGTCCTTTCTTGCTGCAGTTATGACAGTACCCCCTCATGTGATGGACACATATTTCTGATAACAAATACAAATACTGTATAGCAGTCCCCTGTGGTGTATTGGTAAAGCACTCGCCCGGCACTTGGCAAGCGTTTTGGCTTGGGTTTGTATCCTGGCCGGGGAAGATTGACTGGGCGTCAATCCTTAACTGTAGCCTCTGTTCACCCAACAGTGAATGGGTACCCTGGTTATTAACTGATTTGGTGGGTCATATTCTGGAGAAAAATTTGTTTAAGGACCTGCCCAAAACACTATGCGTGCTAGTGGCTTTACAAGAATGAAAAACTCTTGTATATATAAATAAAAAAAAATTGAAAGTTAAAAATAAAATATAGAACACAACCACCATAGAAGTAACATTTCTTTTTGGCAGTGTAGACAGTAGCTAGTGTATGATTCTCATAGTCTAGTCCTTCTTTTCTGAGGGGACCCCCCATCAGCTCCCTGAAGCTATCAAGTGCCATACTACTAGGTGTCATATGTTATGGAGTTCTATTGGCAGGGGCCTAACAGCTGAGTGGACAGCGCTTCAGGTTCGTAGTCCTGAGGTTCCGGGTTCGATCCCCGGTGGACGCGGAGACAAAATGGACAGTTTTTTCACCCTGATGCTCCTGTTTCCTGGGGATGTGTAACAAAAGGGAGGCCTGGTCGAGGACCAGGCCGCAGGGACGCTAAGCCCTGAAATCATCTCAAGATAACCTTAAGATATACCAGGGATCACGAGCTAGAACCTGGCCCCCCTCAGGGATGTGCAGGGAGCAATGGCCTATGAACACTTTAAATTTAAAGTTTATCATCTTTGCCACCACCAGGGAAGCACCCAGAAAGATAAGTGAATCAAAACAGACTACAGTACTGCATGATTTAAAAATGAGGCCGAAGCCCTAACATTGCTATAAAAACTTAAGAACTTCCCCACAATAAAACAATAAAAATTTAGTGAAGCTAGGCCCCCACTAGTTTACCCTTGTCCCCCCAAATGAGGGGGGGGGGCACTAGGGAGTAAAGTCTAGAGTAGGGAGGGAGCTGGCCTGGGTCAGCTAGACCCCCCCACCATTCAATTTTATCTGGACGTCTGTGCTTGGTAGTAGACTGCTCTCTGGCTCCGGTCTCCCAATTTCAGGTGGTGTTTTGCCTTTGAGGTTGTCCTCATATGCAAGTGTTGTATGTGAGCCAGGAGTTTAGTGTACTGGAGCTGCATGTGCTCAGGGTTTGCTTCCCTGTGCGCTGTGCAAGTACAGTACTACCCTTGCACGGTCAGGGTTATCTTCCCTGGGGCATTCGAACAACACTTTTGTTAGGGAGCTTCCTCACTTGAGGTAGTCCTTGCCCTTCAGGTAAGTTGGTGGTCTGGGGCTGACTGTCTTTTCTCGGGTTGGGAGTGTTTATTGGCTGGTGAGGGCACACTGATCTGTGCAACCAGTTAGTTAAGACAAGGTGCACCGACGTTTCTCCCATGCTGCTCGTTTGGGAGCTTCCTCACTTGGGGTAGTCCTTGCCCTTCAGGTAAGTCAGTAGTCTGGGGCTGACTGTCTTTCCTCAGGTTGGGAGTGTTTATTGGCTGGTGAGGGCACACTGTGGTCTGTACAACCGGTTAGTTAAGACAAGGTGCACCGACGTTTATCCCATGCTACTCGTTCACTGCGGTTTGGGCTTGGGGGGGGGGCTTTGATTTCTTGTTTTCATCTGCATTTTGCCTGTTTTTGTTTGGGGGCTCTGCATATTGCCTTATTAGGCTTGCCTAGGGTGTGCACTGTTGAACCCTCTTGCTGCCCCCATTGACTTTACCTTTGGCTTCGGTAAACCAAAGGTAGCTTGGCTTACCGAAGCTTGGTTGCCGACAGGGTTTACCATGTGCCTTTGGGCGCTCTGGACTCATCTTTCTGGAGGTATCCTTCCTCTCGTATTTTCCCTTGCAGAGGCGTTATGAGGTTCCAGAGTCGTTCTGGCTAGCAGACTGTCTATTGTTTTCCCTTGGAGGTTGGCACTGGTTTTACTGTACCCACAGGCTTGATTGGCAGGAACACACTATTGTGTTGCAGGTTTTTTGGGGGGAAGGAGCCTCTGTGGGGTCCCTCAGTGCATGCCCTGCCGTTCTCCGTGACATGGGTCTTGTGCAGCTGCAT